GAGCAGCCAGTGTGTGTGTCTGGTGTGGCAAGAAAACAGCAGAACACACATTTACTCAATCTGTTCACACACACACACACACACACACATGCGCGCACTGCAGTTCTGCTGTGCTTGTTTGCCTGCATGCTACATTTGCATAATTTTTTTCCCTCTCTAAGAGCATCTACAGTCTGTCATTCATGTTACAGACACTTAAACCGCTAGCCGTCCTAATAACTTTACACAGATAAGCAGCTCATGGCTAAATTTAATCTGCCGTTTCTTAAAAAGGCAATAACACACCTGTTCTCCTCCTGGGAGTAGATGCTGAAAGCAATCCTTTAAGTAGTTGATCAATGCGGTTTCTGTGGCATCATTGCGAATTAATGTCCTGAGTGTCCTTGCTGTGTCCAATGGCATCTCTTCATTGATGGAAACATCCAATTCTCCTCGTGAATGAATGAGTCAGATTTCTCAGTTAGTCATCGCTCTATGCAATAACAGCAATGGAATCTTTCACTTGTTTTTAGCTTACAATTAAAACAAGTGAAAAATCTGCTTTTTTGCATCTGTGTTGCATCTGTAAATGTATCTTGTTTTAAGGATTTTTACATATGTCATGAAACCCCGGGTGCAGATTGTTCGGTCCTTTACATGCAATCTGCAAGCAATCACATCATTAGCTTATGGCACAAGCTGATTGGCCTCTGCCGATCCAGCAGCCAATGAGATTCCTTACTCAACATTTAAATAATCTGGTTCAGTATTTGCTGTAAACTGGGAGTAACTGGGAGTTGTCATGATTGAAATATTTTGAATTCAATTTTTTTTTGCAGTGAATAAGTGTTATTATACAGTAGTCGACATTTGAAGTGGATCAAAATCTTTCATCAAAGTTATACATGAATTTTGAACAATACCCATTCTTTGATGAACTTTTTTGATCCACTTCAAATGTTGACTACTGTATATATATATATACACACACACACATTTTTAATATTCCTATCTTAAATTTAAATTACTATAACTATAAAGACGTTATATGCATTATGAATATTTTAATACTATTATTTATGCCATTATATTTACACCACCGTTCAAAAGTATGGAATAATTTGAAAGACATTTTATTTCGTTTTTTAAGAAATTGATGCTTCTGCTTGCCAATATAACATTTAAGTGATCAAAAATACAGTAAAAAACTGTAATTCTGTCAGGACCACTATCTTCAAATACGATTGACAATTAGCATACAGTTTAGATTGGCATATGGTTCTGTTCTGAACCAATAACAATAACAGCAATACCCCCCCTTAGGGTAAACAGAACAGAACCAACATGAATGTATTGCAGAAATCATTAATTCAAGATTTTAAAGTACAACATAATTCGAGAATTTATTCTGATTCAAGGGGAATCAGAACGCCAAATCCTGACTGGAGACAGGTGGAGCTGGGGAGGGAGGAGGGTAATGCGCTCCTGAGAAACGCGATCGCTGCTGATAATACTGAAGAAGCTTATATATGTATACAGTGATAGGCGTTGTATTCCTAAAGGTAGACGTGTATCAGCTGAGAGTCAGCTGATGCGAGCGTGACATGCCAGAACTGACGCTACAGCTACGCTTGATTATTGTAAATTTTTGTTACTGTTTGAAATAACTGTTATATGACGGAAAATGTAATGTTTACAACAAGATCCATTACATCACAATACAATGTCTGTTTCAGTTGCTGAAGCACTGAATGTACTTGCATTTCATACCGCACAAGCTAAATGTTGTTTTCAGAACAAACACGTTTCAACCAGCATGTCTTTCTGTGAAGCATGCAGTCCAAGGAAGTCTTGTTGGTTAGGCTAGTTAAAGGTGCTCTAAGCGATGTCACGCGTTTTTTAGGCCAAAACATTTTTTGTCACATACAGCAAACATGTCCTCACTAACCGCTGGCTGCCTGTCCCCTGTACACACTGTAAAGAAACGCGATCTCTGTAGACAGCCCAGGCTCCACACACAGCAACAAAAACAAACTGGGCTAATCCGCTCCACGAAACATGACAAACTGTTCCAGCCAATCACCGACAAGAAGGACTTGGGGGCGGGGTTTGGGGGGTTAGTGCGCGGATGAGGTGGAGAGAGGGTCTAGCTAGCCTCCGTTTTGTTTGACAATACTTTAAACGTCAACAAGAAGTGACGTCACCCGACATCGCTTAGAGAACCTTTAATTAACCCAGCAGAGTCTAACATATCTTTGCTCTTTTGATTTCAGCAGGTCTGAGGAGTGAGATGTCCTTTAACTGCTGGTCTTCCTCCACGTGGAGGCAGTGAGTCAGTGTAAAAGTGTTGTTCACGGCCCCTGGTTCATTCTCCCGGCAGGCTTGGACAGAGCCCATAAACGCTGCTGAGAACGCAATCAATCTGAGTGTAACTGTAAAACTGTAATATTTTGATATTATTACAAATTAAAAGAAATGTTTTCTATTTGAAAATGTTATTATATATTTATTATTTGAATATATTTTATTGAATATACTTTATATTTTGAATAAATCAGCATATAATGATTTCTGAAGGATCATGTGACTCTGAAGACTGGAGTAATGATGCTGAAAATTCAGCTTTGATCACATTCACAGGAATAAATTACAGTTTACAATATTAAAATAGAAAACAGCTTTTTTAAATTGTAATAATAATTCACAATATTACTGTTTTTACTGTATTTCTGATTAATTAAATACAGCCTTGATGAGCAAAAGACTTATTTTTAAAACATTAAAAAGTTGTAATGTATGATAAGTTGTAAAAGTATAATGAATAAACGTGAATTAACAAAATTATATTTATAAATAAACATTAACCTAGATTAATTCATATCCATATTCCATTCATCTCATCCAGATCGATTTCATTCCATTCCAGCTGCATCACGATTTCTTTCCATCCAATTCCCTTCCAGCATGATCCATTCTTTCATTTCTTGCCTTTTCTTCTGTTCTTCCCCCCTTCAGCGTTCGCCTCAGTCGTGTTGTGAAGTTTTCATTAACTCACAGATGTCTGTCACAGCTGCCTATGTGTTCACGAAGCCACATTAATAACCTCCCCACACAAACCATTTGATCATCGCTGGCCCACAGCTAATGACCCTCGCCTGGCTTCACACCATTTCATGACTGTATATGGCTGTAAAACACACAAGCGCCCTTTACTGAAGGCCTGACTGAACCTTGAAAGCAACAAACAGCAGAGCGAGCGGCAAGTAAATACTTTAGCAAAAACTTCTCACATCAGAAGTGAAAGGAATGGTTGTGGGTGTGCAAACTGACAAACAGATCAAGAAGCAATGAATCTATATATCAGTTAAAGGAATAGTTCACACAAAAATTCTGATTCTGTCATCATTTACTCAACTCTCATTTGTTCGCAAACCATTTATATATTTCTGAGTGAAACAGAATATTCAAGAAAAGCAAATGTAGGGCGGGACTTTTATCCATCAAGAATTAATTGGATGGTCAAAAGTCTCTCTTATGACAGAAGAGGTAGAGTCGAAAAGTATAGAGGCTTTGTTGATGTCAACTGTAAAGGATTGTAAACTGTAAATGTTTTTCTTAGGGATAACATCTGCAATTGTTCATATAGGACCAGGAATGTATATTTAGACTATTTAAAAATAAGATTTTTAAGATATATTCAAAATAAAAGGGCTTGGTTATGTTAACTGTAAATGAAGGTCTTTTCCGAGGAGGATCAAGTTGTTACATAAAAGATTCATGTTTTGTGCACAATTGTTCATAAGAACAGGAATTTAAAAAATAAATAGTCATATTTTGGTTTCATGTCGACTTGGAATAATAGTCCACAAGTCATAAAGACTTAATTTATAGTGCTTCATGGTGCATTTACAGACTTTTTAGAGCTTAATATGGGTTGTGCGACAAACTAAACTAGCTGTTTTCTGTCAAATAGATTGCATCGCTTCTGGTTCAGGTCTTTTTTATGTGCTTTGTTAAATATAGAGCTGTTTTATTTGAGATGCCTTCAAAGGAGTAAGCAGCATAACCGTTGTCCATCACATAGGCCTATGCAGATTTTATCTAAAAATAATAATACTCCCTTCTTCAAAAATAACAATAACTAGGTTAGTTGATTACCTTAAAACTAAAAGTTCATAGATATCGCCGTCAGTCATTCTACCGTTATCACTTTTCGACATTTGACCTTTTTTCACATTTCCGGGTTTCTAAGAAGCGGAAGTCGACATAGTGGCTAATGAGAGTATAATATATATATATATATATATATATATATATATATATATATATATATAACTTAGGCTATATATATATATATATATATATATATATTTCTATTCTCAAATGTCAAAAGAAAAACTCCCCATAGTGTTTTCCCCCCCACAACTTTCAAAAAGAGAAAAATAAAATAGAGAGAGATTGATAACGGCAGTCTGAAAGAGGATCGATGTCACCGTCACTGGGTCACAGTTACAAAAACTATTTTTTTTGAGTTTTATGCAAAGGAAATATAATACTAAAATAGTGTTATAAATGTACATACATAAAAAAAAATGAAAATATTAAACCTTAGCTGGATTTATGATGCTGATGACCGTTAACGCGTCAACAAAGTCTGTGAAAAGGATCGGAATAGCCGTAAATATCGTGTTTCATGCAAAAGAGCAGCTTTCTGCAAAACATCACATTTACTGTTCCAGGGTTTAAAAAACGACAGGAGGGTGAGTAAATGAGGACAATTTCATTTTTAAGCGAACTATTCCTTTAAAAGACATTGTTGATATTGTGATTGTGTAAGATTATTTGCACATAAACGCTACGTGACTGCTAGCAGAAACAGTTTGACTCCAGATGATTTAAGTGAATGAGTGCGCACTACGAAAACACGTCATGGTCTCTGTGCTTCATCACTCGCATCCTGTCCAGCGTCAACGTTTACATATAACTGCAATTTATGACTTTAAAATAAGACCCAACTAAGTATAACACGTTTTATTAGCGTTGGCTGATTTTTTCGGAGAGGCACAATGACAGACATCGTGCTGAATCTGTCTCTTCTCTGCTGGTTATTTTCGCATCCATCACTTCTCCGGTGGTCCTTGTTTACGATCGTATCTCTGCTCGCTGTTTGCGTCGAATCGATGTGAGTAATCACGCGAGGGAAGATTAACTGTGATGCCACTGCTTCAGGCCGATATCTCAACATCCTCATTAAGATTTGACTATGGCAAGCCGGTTTAGCATTTAAAGGATTAGTTCACCTCAAAATGAACATTTCCTGATAATTTACTCACCCCAATGCCATCCAAGATGTTCAGGTCTTTTTTTCTTCAGGGGAAAAGAAATTAAGTTTTTTGAGGAAAACATTTCAGGATTTTTCTCCACACAAAGGACTTCAACAGTAACCAAAAGCGAAACGAATGGTCATTTTCTAAAAAAAAAAATAATAATAATAATATACTTTTTAACCACAATTGTTCGTCTTGTGCCAGGCATTCATAGATATAAACACCTTGGCTACGGCAGTTCATTGGAACGAATGCGTCAATAGAGCCGCCATCTTGAAACAGGGGAACCCCTCATCAGCGTCAATGTAGGAAAAGGTCTAACGGAAATAAAATCACCATAAATCGTCATGAATGTGATTTTCTAGTTGTTTTGGTTCGTTCCAACGGTCAGACATGTATTTATTATAGAGTCCAGAGAAATTTTTTAAAAAATTAAAAAATTTCACAATCTTGTGAAATGTAATCCCTTGCTGTCTGGTTTTTAGATTTCGTTAGTGTGAACATCCATACGCAGCACAAAAGTCCGGCATCATCCATGAATTCAGCGTTACTTAGCTACTTCCTATGACAAGACCCCTGTTCCAAGATGGCGGTGGTTTTGACGCATGTTTAGAACCCCAAGGCGACATCTAGTGTTTATATCTATGGCAGGCATTACGTAATCACGTTGGAAAGGTCACGCTGGACGTAGGCGGAAGTGCCGCCCCATTGTTTACAAGCGTGGAGAAGGAGGATCCTTCAAATTTTATTGTATGTTGAATGACATATTTATCTCTTTGTGTCAGTTTATTGTTTAAAATGGTCCTTTCGTGTGCGTATCCTGGATGGATTATACATGGAATATACTTTTTTTTTTTTTTTTAGAAAATGATCGATCGCTTCGCTAGATAAGACCCTGTTCCTCAGCTGGGGTCGTGCAGAGCCGTTTGAAGCTCTTCAAAGCCCTTTGAAACTGCATTGATTTGGACTTCAACAATTTGGTTACCGTTGAAGTCCATTGTGTGGAGAAAAATCCTGAAATGTTTTCCTCAAAAAAACGTAATTTCTTTTCCACTGAAGAAAGAAAGACATGATCATCTTGGATGGCATTGGGTTGAGTAAATGATCAGGAAATGTTCATTTTGAGGTGAACTAATCCTTTAATGCCCCTGGCTCTGCTAGTTGTAATTGCGGGTAATTCATGAACAATCCATTCATTGCGTCTGTCACGTGACAAATGAACGAAAGACTCGGAGGGTAAAGTAATTATTTATGTTCTCTGTAAATTAGTTTTTTTGACTGCATTATAATGATATCTTAATTCAGAATATGACCAAGATTGCGTTGGTGGATGTGTTTGGGAATTTGGCTGTTAAAAGTATAACATTTAAAGCCACTTAAATAAAAGAAAAAAGATTCGTTCATTTTAACGAACGAGATTGAACAAGAGAGTTAGTAAAATGATCCGAACTTCCCATCACTAGTTGTAATTTAGTTTTAATTAGGCAAAATTTAAGAGATATTGTGAATTGGAATTCTTCCAAGTCAAATATCATTTAAAGATGCAGTTTAATAATGGAGATTTCAGTCTGAATTTTGACCAAGACCCAGACAACAACATACTGTCGGCCCAGATCCGGCCCACATCTGGTACGCGTTGAATCCACATGTACCAGATGTGGCCCGGATCTGGGCCGACACTATGTTTTCTGGGGAAGGTCTTTCTTTGGAGATATCTGCATTTAGCTGTGACCAGGAAGAATTTCAACGTAGATATTAGGAATTATCATTCTTACTGGTCAAAATTACCATATATACGTATATCTGAAACATGCATGCAAATACACCTTTGCTAAGCCCCACCTTAAACATTTTATTAACTAATCCTACCTTGAAAACTGTTGTCATCCGCCATTTTGACTCAGAATTGCATAATAAAGGTCCTGTATGGGTCATTTTAAACTGCTTTATATAGGAGTCATTCAAAAGTCTGAAAATAAAAATATAGTTGTGACATATAAAAGTGACTATCTATGACATCATTACAGCTATATCTTAAAGGGATACTCCACTTTTTTTGGAAATAGGCTCATTTTACAACTCCCCCAGAGTTAAACTGTTGAGTTTTACCGTTTTTGAATCCATTCAGCCGATCTCCGGTTCTGACGGTACCACTTTTAGCATAGCTTAGCATACATCATTGAAGTGGACAAGACCATTAGCATTTCTCATTAAAAAATGACCAAAGTGTTTCGATATTTTTCCTATTTAAAACTTGACTCTTCTGTAGTTACATCGTGCACTAAGACCGACGGAAAATGTAAAGTTCCGATTTTCTAGGCTGATTTGGCTAGGAACTATACTCTCATTCCTGCGTAATAATCAAGAAACTTTACTGCCGTACCATGAGAGCAGCAGGCGTATGATGATATGACGCAGCGCCTGAAAATAGTTCCGTTGTGTTGACGGAAGGTGGCCTATTTTCAGGCGCTGCGTCATATCATTACGCCTGCTGCTCTCATGGTACGGCAGTAAAGTTTCTTGATTATTACGTCAAGTCAAGTTTTAAATAGGAAAAATATCGAAACACTTTGGTCATTTTTTAATGAGAAATGCTAATGGTCTTGTCCACTTCAATGATGTATGCTAAGCTATGCTAAAAGTGGTACCTCCAGAACCGGAGATCTGCTGAATGGATTAAAAAACGGTAAAACTCAACAGTTTAACTCTGGTGGAGTTGTAAATTGAGCCTATTTCCAAAAAAAGTGGAGTATCCCTTTAAATAGCATTTAGACTTGTAAAAACATCTTGAAATTAATTTCTTATTAGTGCAATTGTAATTGCAGATATCTCTAATTATGTAATTATCATATTTATGGATAGTCCAAACCAAACCATAGTTTTATATGGCAATTCTGCTTGCCATATTCGCCAGCAGTTCATTTACGGGTAATTACTAATGAATGCGACTTCTGCGTTTGTTCGTAATCGTTTCAATAAATTCGCTATGGCACTAGATGTGTCATGCAAATAAACTTCATAAAAGGTACAAAAGTCCATGTTCACTCACGCATTTCCTCTTTCTCGTGCGCTTGTCTTGGCATTAGTGTCATTGATAATGTGATCACATCGCTGTGATATCAGAGCATCATCTTGGCCATTTCCACCAGGAAATGAGTGTTTGTGGCTGATCTTGTTTGCCAATGTAGGTCGCGTCTCAATTAGCATGCTCGTTTATGAATTTTCTGCAGGTGAAAAACACTGTTACATCATCCGCTGGATTTATGGACCCTAGGAAATTACATTTAAATGAGTAATTATTTCATTTATATTTAACTGAATATAATGTGAGATCTTGGCCAGAGGGGTTTTGAATGTTTGATCCTCAAGAAAGGACAGGGTTTCCTATCCCGAGACTTTTATTGAGTTATGTTGGGTATATGTGATAGATCATTTGTGATTCATTTGAATAATTAATTAGCATATATCATGTAATTCACTTGATTAAAACATTGAATGGATTTAGAGTTATAACTATAGTTCAGATGTCTCCAGGGTGTCTTTTTCACGTGTTTTAGCTGCTCGACACGTCACCCTATTAGACCGGGATGGAGAGAAAGAGAGAGAGAGAGAGCTTCTGAAGAGAAGGAAAGAAGAATAAAAACCGTGAAATTCTTTATCTCCTCTTGTCAGCCCGTCAGAAGGAGTCAATCTTTATCCGTTCTGTTCTCCCTAACCTTCTCTCTCTCTCTCTCTCTCTCTCTCTCTCTCTCTCTCTCTCTCTCTCTCTCTCTCTCTCTCTCTCTCTCTCTCTCTCTCTCTGTTATCTCTGACAGCGGCTTCTTTCCCTGTTCAAGCATTTCATCATCACCGGGTCTTGTGGTTTGATTCTGAGATGAGGCTGACATGAGATGTGCGAACGTCCCATCAGAGGATTCGATCTGCTCCACAGGTCAAATGTTAAAATATGAAATAATATATTTAATTTCTGAAGGAAATTTCATGCAATATTAATATAATGAACAAAAATCAATACGGTGTGTGTATATATCTATCTACAGTATATATATATATATATATATATATATATATATAGAGAGAGAGAGAGAGATACATATACATATTATTTAATCAAAAATGCAGTAAAAACAGTAATATTTTGATATATTATTACAAATTAAAATAAATGTTTTCTATTTTATTATATATTTATTATATTTTATTTGAATATATTTTATATTTTTAATAAATCATCTTAGAATGATTTCTGAAGGATCATGTGGCACTGAAGACTGGAGTAAAGATGCTGAAATTCACAGGAATAAATTAGATTTTTAAATATATTCACATAGAAAACAGTTATTTTAAATTGTAATAATATTTCACAATATTAAAGGGATACTTCAGGATTTAGCATTAAGCTTTGTATTAGTAGAAAACCTGTATTATTTTCAAATTACAGTGCTTTCCACCCTCATATCCCCCTGAGACGAGAGATTTATGTATTTTTTGTCTGGAAAAAATCCTCCGATGACGCAAAAATCGTCATTTTGCGTCATCGGAGGATTTTCTGGCCAGAGGCTAAAGACTACAGTCAGTAGTAGTACCCCCCTTGCATTGGTAGGTTTAGGATTAGTTGTGGGGGAGGGGGTGGGATTAGGCAATCAGGTACTGACTTCAACGAGGGGGGTAATAATTTGGCAGGGGGTCGAAATTAGGCACAACACCGGCCGTCGAGATCGTCCAAAATGTCCGGGATTCAGCTTTTGCTTTCTGCAGTCGCCATTCATTGTTTACATGCACACCTTTTGTTTCAATCTAACGCCGCCTTCACACTGGCAGTTGAAATCATCTCCGATACGGCTCCGAAACGACCGGAAGTCATTCATTTCCTATGGAGATTCGCAGACCGCATGCGAATGGGTCCGAAACGGGTCCGACCGAGTGCGGTGCGAAGAAAATCGTGTCCGTTGGTCGTCCGGATGCGTTCAAAAAATTTTGCGAAAAGCTACGGACGGTTCCTATCCGACAATTCCAGCGGAAGTTAGCGTTGCTATGATACTGATAAACAAACCTGAATTCTTATCGTTATAAAATCATTATTTATTTTATTAAAAGTTAAGCTGTCATGTAATTTTTTATTTTCACGATTTGCTAACGTTATTAGGGCAGTTAATACAATTAAATTGTAGGCAGACATCGAACTAAATATGATATAGTGGTATAAATTATACCACTATATCACATTTTTTAGCCGACCTGACATGTCAACGTCCTGAGCAACTTTCCTCACGCAGCAGCCTTCCTATTAATATCTCTATAACCCTCATCAGAGAGATCATACAGAACTGACAGAATCAAACTTTCTAATCTCTCCGCCATTTTTGTTCCCGCTTCCGACGCTTTTCACTGTGTAGTACGACGTCCGTTGGGGGCGTATTGCATATTACGGAGTTGATTTCAACTGCCAGTGTGAAGGCGGCGTAACTGAATTCATTCCGATTGGTGAATCTGAATGTACTGTTTACATGAACGCTAAACAAGTGATCGGTTGATGTGCGTTTTAACATTGCTAAGAATATTCCCGCTCCTCCGTGAGAGATACGAGACTGGTGCGTCTCACAGCTGTCGCTCATCAGTAATCACGCGGATACCTCGCGCCGTTCTCCCGCGGCCCTCACTCGTCCTGCTCAACACAGTAAACATGATGAACGGCGACTGTAGAACGCAAAAGCGAATCTCGGAACATTTTGGGCAATCTCGAAATCCCGGGCAGACTCATCACGGAGACTCACTAGTAGCCAAGACTTGTTGTTTAAAGAGCAACGTGCAGGTTGAATTTATAACTGAATTAACACTTGATATTGTCTGAAGAGGTCTTTTAAAAACACATATGTAGAAATTACTAATGAAATCTCATTTGATGTAGAAATTCTGATGAAAATGTGCTAGGCTCTGGAATACGCCTTTCCCGCTAGCAATGCATCATGTGACGTAGGCCGAGGCAAACAAGAGCTCGCGGTCAGCTATAGTTAGAGCGGTAGTGAGAGACAGAGAAAGTTTTAGATCGAGTTTTAATGGTAAATTGTTGTGTTTGTGCTGGTTGCACGAATTCCAGCCTGTCAGGACATCGTGTCCATCATTTTCCTTCTAGGAAAAACAAGGCTTTTCGTTCTTGGGTGCGTTTTGTGCAGGTGAAGAGAGCAGACTTCACTGCCGCGTCTGTCACCACACACATTTCACTCCGGAGAATTATAGACCTGGAGATTTTTTGCATCACAGACAGATGGTTTAATTAATACGGCTTTGCAAACATTGCATTTTGCTGTCTTGCTCTGTGGTGTTTCCAGTGTGAAGTATTTACACACAGCTCAATGCTGTCCTGCTTGCTGGCTGCAAACTGTGTAATGGATTTCCTGAGGGGGGTCTCTGTGTCTCATTGAGCCGCGCCTCCGTTCAGGAAATCCATTCCACAGCTTGCAGCCAGCTAGCAGACTGGCCGGCGGGAATCACTTTTGGAGTCATTTCAGCAGGATATCGGATATCTCCGCAGGTTGGATCGGGAAAATCCGATACATTAATTACACTGGTATCGGTCCCGGTCCCGATACTGGATCGGATCGGCCCCATCCCTACCTGTGGGCTGTGGGCTATCATAAGCATGCTCGTCTACATCGGAGAACTCGGTTTCTTCATTCACATCCATTGTAACCTGAGCTTGAACTTGACCAGACTCCCTCGCCCATCGTCACTTCCGGTTAGTGCTTTATAGACGCGGAAGTTATTTTATCACAATTTATCTCAAAATATCGTTAATGGCTAAATATATATTACTCCAGTTCAGAAAATCTAGTTCTTTTATCATCAACATACACTATGCTATATAGGGGTGTCCAACCTGCACTTTGCTCTTTAACTACTGCGCTCTGTTACCGGTAGGCGTGGCCTCCTAGGGCAGCGAACCAAGTGCATTCTGGGAGTTGTTGTCTTTCATCCACATAAGCCAAAAATACATTTTCTGGCTTTTCTCAGTCTAGAAAGCTCCAAATTCAAAACTAATTTCACATTTCTTCTACATAAATGACCCATTTTAAATACACATTCATCTTCCCAGAGGTGAAGTATCCTTTTATGATTTTACTGTATTTTTCATCCAATAATCGCAGTCTTGGTGAGCAGAAGAGATGGTTTTCTGTGCAAGTGTTTTTCTATTTTTATTGCTGCATTATCTAATTCCGATAAACCACCCATAAATGGTATGTAAAACCAAAACAAAGTTTGATTGGTTTACATGTTTGTCAAACTATCCCTTCCTGTTGGTTCTTGGACAGAATAATCTGCAATCGGGGCGAGACTTTATGCCGCTAGTAAACGTTCATCTACACGAGACTCAGTCACACAATAACTGTCCATGTTTGACTGAACAGCAGCGGATTCACACAGTAAACACGAACACTAACTCCAGTAGTGTTTGTCACGGTTAAGCAGAGCACATCGATTCCGTTTGATCTTTCTCTCGCTCTCACACTCGCTCGCTTCCCATTATAGTGGTGTAATTACTTCTAATGAAGAAGTCTGTGTGCAGATGCAGGCTCTGATTAGCCAGCCGCACCCACGGACATCTCTCTCTCACACACACACACTCACACATACACACTTCATCTTTAAACGTTCATTTTGTTAGTCATTTGTTCCGCAAATTGCTCCTTTCAGAAGAGCGGATTCATAATGGGCTGCCAGCGAAACGGGGACTGCCTGAAGCCAGTGTGAACTGAAGTGCACTGAAAGGCCCTTCATGTCTTTAGTTAGACATGCAAACTAAAGTCATCATGTTTCTTATGGAATATTGCAGTATTTATTATAAAAGATTTCTCTTATAACTAATAACTTAACAAATAACGAGGGTGGGGCAACCTGTCACTCACATGAGATCCACCAATAGCAAACCACAACCATCCAATCAATTCTCCACATATATAATCAAGCCCCGCCCACATTTGTTCTTGTCCCGGAAGCCGTTTCACTCACAATCGGGAAGAAAAGACCATCACAACTTCTGTTTCATGCCGACTTTAATGAATATCATTTCTGTTAGTGATCTAAAGAAAGTCCTAATACGTAAGCGCGTCGAAATTGAGATGCTTAGTCATTATGAATTAAAAACTTGAATTTATAACGTATTAAGTAATGAATAATCTCATTAAATTATGAGATAAATGTCGAAAATGGGATTCTAAGTCTTAATTATGAGTAGGCGTGTCACGATTGTTAATCGTCTGATCGTGGGTATTATTAATTATTAATCATAATTTGAGATAACCACAATAATTGTGCAGTTTAAATTTTTAATCACATTTTTTATTTTATATTATATCATCAGAAATCATATGGGCCTAGTTATTAAAAAATGATGGGCCCATTATAAAAAAAAAAGTATTATATACAATTCAAAGTAAAAAGTAGGCTTACACTGTAAGTGATGTTTTTTGTGATAATTAATCGTCTGAGCAAAATTGAGATAAAGTGAGATAAAGGCAAAATGATTAGATATGAAGCCATAATTTATGTAAAAATTGACATACTAAGTCATAAGGGAGAAAAAAGTCCACATTATGACATAAAAGTCTAAATTATGACATAATATACTCAAAATTATTAGATACAAATTTCCAAAAATTGTCCTCATTTATACCTTCTGTTGCATTAATGTTTATATCACAATTTATTTTTATCTTATAATTAAAATGATGACTTAGTATCATAATTTCAACTTTTTATCTCAATATTATGACTTTTTTTTTTTTAAAAGAGACATTTTTCAGATTTATTTTCAGTGAATCCTCCAGAAAATGTAAATGACCTGTATAGGTTATAGTGGCGCACACAATCGGTATTGTGTTATATTGATATTTTGA